AAAAAAAAATACATGTGTGCAATTCACACGTGGTAGAAGTGAAACCTTCCAAAATTAAAATACAATTATCCTAAACGTCTTAAGTATATGTAAAATTTTGTCATTAGTAAATAATTGTAAGGTAGCGCCCTCTGTGAATTGATATTTTAATTTCACGTATAATCCTAAATTAAAATTCACTACAAGAGCTTTCATACACACGTTAGTATTAAAAAATCTCACAGATGGCGCTGTATTAAATAGTATGTATATTTCTGTCTCATTCATCCTACACATTTTTGTATTTGTGTCTCTTACCTGTCGTTTTTTCTGTTGCATCCGGTTTGAAATCACAACGATTCTAAAGAAGTTTTCACTTCAATTAAACGTTTACGCTCACCTTAGAAATCCCCTTACACTTATAACTCACCTACTGACAGTTTCTTATTATCTGGTAGGTTAAACATTAATGATATATTATTTCAAAGCTCCAGTAGTTTAGTAAATTAAAAATAAATTCACGGACTGTCAATTTTGAAAATATATTTTTAGCTTAAGATAAATCATTTTTATCGTTAAACCACATATCAGTTAAATTTCAGAAACAAAATTTGCAAAGCATGTCTTCTTTTAATTGTAAAAATACTTGTTTCATGTGAAAGAGTGTATGATTTCTATGTATTCGATTGTTTTCGCCCATACTTACTGGTTATAATATGTGTAAAAAGTGCAAACATAAAATGTTTTTACATTCTCTCTATGTGGTAGTTTATACTCTAAGAAACTGTGATTTATAAAATCAGAATTTGTCAGAAAATGTCAAATTATATTACCGGTCCTGGACGAAAGTCCGGACTTGTGAACGGATATTCAAAATGAGAAATTTAGTTCCTATATTGAAAATACAACATTGTTTGTGAATTTTAAGATTTGGAATCTTGTACTTCAAATTAAATGAGTCACGAACTACTAATATTTTTTGATAGTCAACCCTTGTAATAACTGTACTCTTCGATATTCGACACTATTCGACAGTCAATTGTTATTTACAATGCTTGCATAACGTGCTAGTGGCGGGCTGATGCCGTTTTTAAATATGAATAGTTCGAAACTGAATTTACTTTTGAACACAGTCAATACATATTTAAGATTAAACTCGGATGTAAAACAAACAATATTAAAAAAATACTTCAAAGAAAACTTCACATTATTCTGGAACACAACATCATCTAACACTCGCTATTTTCACTCTTCCTTGAAGGCAGCGCAAGTGCAAAAAGATGGGGTCACAGTATTACCTTCGCCTCAAGAAGTAAGTTTTAATATTTAAAAAGTAATGTGAGCTCATTGGAAATAATATCATGATATTGTTATTTTTGGGTCATATCTTGTTTTTCTCTTTGTGATATTTTACGAATTGTTTCTTTCTTCATTAGTTAGCTGTCCTAAAGCATGGTGTACTAAGTGCTAAGTCTTTTGTTTCACTAGATTGTTAACAATGGGCACCATGCGGCACCATGGGCAATGAGAGTACATTTCAAAATAATCTTTTGAAGAATCTACAGTTAGACAGATATACACTTTCTTGTTTCACATCGCTAATCAGCAAGGTGGTGAGTCTGCAAAGGTCTGCAATACTTAGTCTTTCTATATGGAAAGTCTACAAGGAAAATATTATTTTTATTCAATAAAATATTTATTACTGCTGTACAAATAGAAGATATTTACTTGTACCTTTCAATAATATTAATAGGATAGTAAGTTATTTAAGTTGTCTTAGCCTCCATATCTACTCTTTATTTAATTCTTGGGAATTTGGTTCTGTCCATCTCATTTTAATATCATAAGAAAAGCTAATGAATAATGGTATGAAAATGAAAAAATTACAGGCTTTTAATTTAAATGTAATGTTATTGTTTTTTATTGTAACAATTTAGTCAGAGTTTTATGAGCTTAGTCAAAATCAATTCAATTATAAAAAATTAAGTCATCAAAAACTTTTATTGAATGTGGCAACATAGTGATTCTACCACTTGTGAAAAAAAAACACTTGAGAAAAATTAGCAAGACAAACTATAGATGCTTAGAGAATGTGCATATCATGTACCGACCACTTCCATTTAATTGCTTACAGAAGATGGCCGTACTGATTGTTGGCAAACCTGGTCTCAGGAAATATCTGGTTTATGGGGATACTTGTTTTCAACTAGCTTGGTTCATACCAATACGATTATTATTCAGAGAGATTGTTCTGTGTAATTGTTGTTATTTGTAAGATTTTGGTTGTGTGTTACTTATTGAGATGATCAAGATTAATAGAAAAGATTCTATACAATAATAATATTTAAAGAAAAGCTTGTTAAGCAAAACAAAAGAAACAAACCCTTTCTTGACTACAATATTTTCTATCCTCCATAATTAAAAAATTTAGATCTTCATGTTCTCATATCACATGCGGCAATAAATGTTATGCAAACTATGTGAATTTATTAATGTATAGAACAAATAAACTTAAAAAATTTCAGGTCACAACAATACTCCGAAAAAACGAATTCAACAAAGAATTCACAACTGGCTCCATTAAGTGCTACGATTCAAATCAACTGGCTTCAAACGACCCCATAGAGGATACTCGTTGTGAGGCACAATGTAGGATGACTTCAGGTATGTTATAATATATCAATGATATATTTTGAGAAGCCCTAAGACTCCTTTATACCACTAAGTTTCTCGCCGGATCTTCTCAGTGGGTCGCAATTCCGATCCGGTTGTAGATTCTGCAAAGCACTACTCTTGCTATAGCTAGTGTTAGCATATTCTCTCAGGTTGAGCCCATGAGCTCATTTACTCGTCCAGGCGTAGTTGGAATAGCCTCTAAGGCTACCATCGAATAGGTAGGGAAAAAAATTATATGACTCTAATTTTTTTATATTATGAAGTGTGTATTTCAAAAGATTATCAAGTTGTGCTAGCTTTTTATTGGTGCCACAACTACTTTTCTAGAAGTATATTCTAACTTTTTAAATATTTTCCTCAATAAAATTGCTCAATTTTTACATAGATTGGTACATGTGTTCCAAAATGTTTGTTACAAACGATGAATCCAATTAATTGTCAACAATCAGGAAAGACCTAGGCTGTATTGACATCTAAAATCATTCCCTTTTGTTAATTTTTCTTGCTATATCATTAATTGCAATACTGTTTTCACAAAAAAGTCATGTGGAATATCAAACATAATCAATTATAAATATATAATATCAATACATATAATAAAATAGTAACTAGTCGCTGTCTGTACATGGAAGATATCTCAGGAAAACCATATTAAACTATTATTAGGGGGCTTTATGAACACAATAGAATCCAAAATAATGATTTTTAGAATTTTTGTCTGTTAGTCTGTTTATTTGTTTGTCTGTGCGTTTGTGCATGCTAATCCCAGAAATATCTTATCTGATTTAAATGTGGTTTTCACTAATTTATTGTGGTAAGCTTTACTTAACATTTAGTGTCTGTTTCATGTCAATCGGTTCATAAATAAAAAAGTTATGCCAATTTAAAGAATCACGTAGCCGGGCGTTTATAGATTGTTTACGCCTGTGCGGCCGCGCGGGTATATAAAGCGCGCCGCTGCCTTCTTGCCGAGACCGTCGCTTGCGACGTAGGGCTCGACAAGTAAATTAACCCACAGACATAGCCCACTGAGTTTCTCGCCAGATCTTCTCGGTGGGTCGCGTTTCCGATCCGGTGGTAGATTCTGCGAGGCACGGCCCTCGCTCGGGTTCGTGTTAGCAACGTCGTCAGGTTTGAGCTCCGTGAGCTCACCTACTAGTTAAGATTACGCTGAAATAGCCTCTAAAGGCTACAGGCACAGGTAGCGAAAAAAAAGTATTCAAATTTTTATTAGTTCGTTCGACGAGAACGATGACTGGTGCTTGAGGTACCTAAAAGCACCGTTAGTGGATCGGGAGGATCCGAAATGACGTGTTTGAGGCGACGTCGACTGTTTTCCATTCTGTCCGCAGGATCGAGAATGTAGTTACCGGCGGTCACGATGAGAGGGTTCTCGTGTCGTACCGCTTTGTCGAAATGGCGCATTGATGCCGACTATAGATACTTACTAATGAACTATAGGTCCATGTCGTCATGCAAGTCGATGTTTCTGACGAACCATGGGGCTCCAACGGCTATCCTGCAAAAACGCGATTGAATTATTTGAAGTGGTTTTAAGTTAGTGCGGGCCATGTGAGCGAACACCACACTTGCATAGGTCAGGACGGGGCGTATGCAAGCTTTGTAGTGTCACCTTATTTCTAAGGGACATTTACTTCGCTTGCAAATCATCGGATAGAGGGATTTGACTACATTATTGGTGCTTGGAACTTATAATCAGACCACAAATATGTACCAAAAATCTTATAACTTTTTGATTAAATAATAAAATAAACTTTGTATCTGCAGGTTTGATTATGGGGGTGTTCGATGGTCATGGTGGACCTGCTTGTGCCCAAGTTATATCAAAGAGATTGGTTGATTACATAGCAGCCGCACTTCTGCCCATAGAAACATTGCACAAGTACATTCAGCAGGATCCTCGAGAAGCTTTGGTTGACACTTTTAATAATAGAGTAAGTGGTTTTGTCGTTATTTCCATCTTATTAGCAAGATGAGCCATACTTTTATGTAAGATTATTTTTAATTAATACAGGTTGTTAACTTTACAGGTTGAAATTTTACAGGAATTGAAAATTTTGTATGAGCGTAGTTTTAGACAATACTTAGCAGAGTTAGCTAATTTACCACATGAGGGTTATAACGTACCAACAGCTTTGGAACAAGCCATCATAAAAATTGACCAAGATTTGTCAAAGGAAGCAGTTGAGCCATATAAACTTAATCAGGTGATAAATCCCCAGACATTATCTGTAGCACTATCTGGTGCAGTGGCCTGTGTAACACATGTGGATGGGCCTAATCTGCATATTGCGAACGTTGGCGACTGTAATGCTGTTTTGGGTATTTTGACTGAAGACAAAGAGTGGATAGCGAAAAAAATAACAAAAGAACATAATTCCGAGAATTTCGATGAGTTGAAAAGAATTTGGAATGAGCATCCTGACAATGAGAGAAAAACTGTAATACGCAGAGATAGATTACTGGGTGAACTCGCTCCTTTACGTAGTTTGGGAGATTATAGATATAAATGGCCTATAGAAATTTTAATGAAAGTGGCAGTACCTTTAATTGGCCCAAAAGCTATACCTGCAAATTACCATACACCGCCTTATTTAACGGCAAAACCAGATTTATATTACCATAGATTGAGTACAAGGGATAAATTTTTAATTCTGGCTTCGGATGGATTATGGGATATGATGACGCCATTACAGGCAGTCAAGCTGGTGGGCGAGCATATGAAGGGAAAAGTTTTCTTTAACCCTTTGAAATTGCCCAGAAAGAATATTCAGCTGGGTGATATAAATGAATTACTCCTTCACAGGAAGGAAAGCTTGAAGAGTAAGCCAAAGGATAGAAATGCAGCCACACATTTAATACGTCATGCAATAGGTGGTACAGAATACGGCGTGGACCACTCCAGATTGGCACATTTGTTGAGTTTATCCCCGGATGTGAGTCGTATGTTTCGAGATGACATAACCGTTACGGTCATGTATTTTGATTCAGAGTTCTTAAGGCAATGTCCCGCATGAGAGGGTTTTTAAATTGTGACAATAAGATCGAGTCGTGCCTTCTATAACGTTAAATTTTTGTTGCCAATTTACATGATTAGTGAAGATTTTTTGGTGTTTGATGTATTTTATTCGTGTGATATTTTGATATGATTGTTCAATGATGGTAGTAATGCTTAGTCGTGTCGTAGTGTTGTATTAGTTCAAATGTGGATGTTTTTATGTTTTTATTTAGTTAATATATTTACTTTGTTATATTGTTTTGGAGCCATTTGAGGCGTTTATTAAAGGACTCAGTGCTTATTTCAAGTTGCCAATGTCTTCTCACAAATTTAGAAAGAGAATTGACTAATATGTGATAGTTTATACCATGAAGCACAGAGTATATCTCATGATTAGTCCCTATTTGATGTACTAGTACAATGTATTAGTTAATAATTATAATGATAATTCTTTTACTGCGAAAAATACGTATTTAAACTATGAAGAAAATGAAAAAAAGTTTAGTACGTAATGAATTAGGTCATCAACAATAACGGTTTTATGAATAAACATGGTGCGGCACAGCTAAGGTAGCGGTTACAGTGCTTTTTCTACTCAAACATAACAGTAGGAGACAAAATCTGCGTACATAATTACACAAAGTTTGTTAATACGTGCATTAGTGTCCATTTCTATGAACAAAATTTAATTGAAACATTAAAATGTCATTTACAGTAGATTGAGGGGAATAGGGACTAGATGTAGAATAGGGACAAATTTGGGATATCACAATACTTATGTGGGGTTTTTAGAGATTTAACTTTGTTGAACTGAAAATGACTTTTATTTAGTGTTTAAGAATATTAAATGGTTTAATTTAGTCATCACAGATTTGTAACTCATTAAAGATGTTAAAAAGCTAATTACCTAAAGTCTGAAAAACTATTGTCCCCATACGTAACCTGATTCACCCCAAAGCCACGGTGAATCGGGTCAAGCTAGTTTTTTCAGTTTTTGTGTATATTTTGTAATGAACTATGTACAACAACCCATCGTATATAAAAATATAATCCTCCGGAACCATTTTAATCTCAGTTTTATTTTTTATTTTTATTTTATTACCCTAAGAACAATCATTGAAAATTTTGTTGGATTTGGAAAGGGTCCCGATTCCCCCAATCTACGGTAACATTTTAGTATCTTCATGTCAATTTTTACCATTTAGAATTGAATGTGATACAAAATCTTGTAGGTTTTGCTGCGTAAAAAAGTTGCTAGTTTTTAAACCACTGATTACTGTAGATGAGAATAGTTACAATGTAAAAGTTGTAAGAATATGTATTTAGAAGTGCGCTGCGGATTTTTTATTGTGTCTTAGTCTTTCAATTATAATTTCAGTTTGCCATGTTCATAATTTATTGTTTGTTTTTCTTCTCTTATTGCATGTATTTGCCTTTGAAGCCTTTTGAAGATTGTTAGCTCAAACATAAAAGTTTTTATATTTTGTTAAATTACCCTTTTCTGTCCACGCTAATTTATTTGTGCTACGATTTCATATTTTGTAAAATGAAAAAAAAAAAAAAAAACTTAACAAAGTGCTTTACGAACTACAATAAATTAATGATGTTGCTTTTTTATTAAACAAATATGTGGAATCGCGAATTAATACAAATATTGAATTTCAACTTGTTTTATTTATTAATCACCATTATTGTTAAAAGTGAATAGTATTTGTAATGTCTAGTAAAGAAGGCGAAGTAAGTATTTACATAAAAACAGTGTTATGTAATTACTGAATGTTCAAAGAACCAACTTGCATTCTAGAACGTTCGATTGTAGTTTAACTTTAGTTTTGTTAGTAAAGTGTTAAATTATACTTTACAGTAAATTTTAATACGAAAGGCTTTGTTTTCGTATATTTTAAAGGTCGTGTTTCAATCGTAACTTTGGAACGTCGAGAAAACAAGTTTAGTGAACGAGTGATGAATTAGTAAAAGATAACACTGTAGATTACATAATGAACTACTATTAAAATTCCTTTATGATTATATTGAACGAGTAATACTATATAAATAACAACGTAAATATGAAGTAAACATCTTTAAAACAATTATCGGAACCTTGGCATTTCGGACTTCATATTCAAGGTGTTTGGGCGAGACGGTAATTGAATTAGCATTACCCAGTGCATTTCAGTGGTGTTACTAAATCGTTTTGGACGTTCGGCGTCTGAAATGTTTAGGATGCGCACTTCACATTCATCAGTTGTAGTTTCGTAACAATACTTAAACGTTACATGAAGATATCTTTATAGACATATAATATACGGAATGTTATTAACATTATCGCATTACAAAGTTGCTCATTTTGTTTTATAATTAAATAGAGCCAATAAAAAATAAAAAATAAACTAGTCGAATGTGAAACTTATTCAAAAAACTTCTGTTCTCACAGAGCGTCAATTCGTCTTCGAGTAGTAACTTAATATCATCTGCGTTTATCAGAATCATTCTTGAGCTTTCGGTAATTTTTAACATCGTTATAAATATCCGATCACCGCAAATTGATTGCGAGCAGGCGTAATACCTGCTACTTAATACTACACAAAATGCACAGCCCGCGGTATGTCCTATCTAGTTCGCCAAACTCCTCCCAACGCCCACAAAACGCGATGAAAGACAAATTGACTCGTGATTAAAAACCACTCATAGTTTTTAATCCTTAAATTTAAATCATTAATGGACGAAGTCCTTTTACGAATTAGTTTAAAAGTTATAGAAATCCATTACAAATATCATAAGAAGATTTAGTTTAAAGCAAAACATAAGAAGTATTCAAGCAGTACGTATATTTCGTATTAGATAGAAAGATACTTATAGGCTAGAAATGTTGAAGAGTAGCTATCGGAAATATCCAAAAGTTCTCGAAAATATATGTTCTCAGTGTTCTCATTGAACAATGGAGAAAAGTATTAGTATTAAGTAATTCAAAGAGTATGTATACTAGGTTTGGCAGACCACATGGATACATCATAGCTAGTAATGTAAGTAGGGTGCTGACGAAACGGCGGCGATTCGAACTCTTGTAAACAGTGCTATATTGAAAATTTAAAAAGTACTTAGCCATCTACATGATCACACTACAGTCCTAATAACTATGTAAGTTATTTTTAAGCATTTTAAACTTCTTGCTTATGAAAACTATGTTTCAAATCAAAAACACTATCCCGTTGCTTATCTCTAGATGATCGTGAGGTAATACTGTATCATCAACATGGATTAGAAGCGGCCTTGTCTTTATATACTGCGAAAATAGGTGGTATTTAATTTAATTTCATTTTTCCAGTTACATTGAAAATTGTGAGCCCTTAAAGGGCTATATATAAATTTAGCAGTTATTTTTCATCGGAAAAAAATATCAACGAAGATATGTTGATAACCTTTTCAAATAGTCGCTGTAAAGTTTCTATCTTGTAACGTTATATGGTCGTTTGAAATGGAATGCAATGTTTGAACTTTGTTATATGTACCTAAGTGGGGCGTGATTATTTTAAACCTAACTATATAAGTAACAACAACAACAACAGGAAAAGTATTTAAATAATTGTGGTATTGACATTCGATCAACGTGCAACGCTATCTACATTTACTAAAGATGTTTACTTATGTAAAGATATAATAGCAATGGTGCCGCCAGTAATAGAGACCTAAGCGACGGTTCACAACAATCTACAGAACTATAGAAGTTACACGTGATAGAAATACGTGTTATTATATTCTAAAAAGGGTCGTCGATAGGGTATTATTTCTTGAACTGTAGTGCGTTATTAACGAGTATGTGATTTGGCTAAGGGTAGTCAAGTTCTCTCGCGCGAATTTTCCTCTCAGGGTGAGCTTTGCTGTGTCCAAATCGAAGACAAGAGTTTGTTTGATTTGCAACCGTTTCGTACCTATAAATAGCAGACCCGAAAGCAGAAACATATTCATCATTTACAAAGAGCAACATTAAATTTGCCAACATGAAATGGATGGCGAGGTTCTGGTCATAAAAAAATTATCACGAATCATTAAAAATTTTCATTATTAGTTCATAAAATAATTCATTTAAAACATTTAGGTAATAAAAAATACGAAATTCCAAATTCAACATTGTCAGGATCGTCACGAGAAAAGTTAGAGAAATTGTTTTCTCAGATGTTTTTCCTGAAGTTATTTGTAGGTCCACCTTCATATTATTAGTGCGTGTGCCAGTTTGAAGTTTACAAAGTAAATCAATATTTTTAGATCATAATGCCACCAACTCACTATCCTTGAGGTGGAAATTGCAAATTGCAATATCCGACTATAGATATAGATGTTTATTATTTATTTTGTATATCGGATTCGGAAATTAGTCAAATTTTTTAAAATTATTTCGTATGCGATGATGTAGACATACATAAACTGAGTTGTATCATAGGAGTAAATACTGAAGTACATAGTATAAAGATAAACCGAAATAATAACAAATTTAAAATCAATCGAAAGCCTCGCTCTTTTACTGGCATTCATATTGGCAAATATTAGGTACTTCAAATCATTACTACAATACACAGTATCCGCGTAAAAAGTACATACATATTTAGAAATTAAAATATGGTTATATATTTCAGAAAAAGAAACTGTCCTAGATAAAAGGAACCATAAACATTTCTTACTACATTTCAACATATCCCCTACTACATTGAACTAAATAAAAACACTACACTAAATTGAATAAAATACATATTATTATAACGCGGCTATGTAATTGCAGTGGCTCTCTATGTAAATGTGAAATCCGGCGAGAGAATGACCATAGATTAATCGCCTCCAAGGGACAGAGCCTGAACAATGCGGGGGTCGGCCTTGCTGCCCTCACGGAATTCCTCCAGAGTCAGCCTGTCATCATGGTTCTTGTCCATCTGGTCGAAGATCTTGTCGACGCGCTTCTGGGGAGTGTTCTCATCCTCAGGCTGTGGGGTCTGGCCCTGAAATGAGCATTTGAATATAAGTTTGGAGTTGAACGCAAACCTTTCAGGACTCGGTTTTTGATTCTAAAGTAATCAAATTGTGAATCGTCAATCAGTTTTATATGATTGCAACTAAAACTAAAAACATACAGATGAGTCAGCACCATATGTTTGCTGTAAGATTAGTTGTGAGATTGTTTGGAGGGTATTTCACATATATAGGTACTATGCTGAATCGGCAATAGGAGTACGACGTGCTACGGTGAAACTGGTAAGGCCTCCGGGCCACCAGTAATCCCTCAATCATAAAATAAAAAGAAAGCGAGGTGGTAGGGCCTCTTGTGCTTATTATTACGGATAGGTACCACCTATTTCTGCCGTGAAGTAGTAATGCGTTTCGGTTTGAAGGGTGGGGTAGCCGTTGAAACTATACTGAGACCTTAGAACTTATATCTCAGGGTGGGTGGCGCATTTATGTTGTAGATGTCTATGAGCTCCAGTAACCACTTAACACCAAGGCTGTGAGCTCGTCCACCCATCTAAGCAAAAAAAATTATTTAAATTGTTTGCACCGTTTAATACCACCGTTCCCACCAATCTTCTGAACGTGTTATGTTTACATTATTTTATTCTAAAAATTTAATCAGGGCATTGAGGGCGTCGATATGTATGGAAAAGAATAGTAGATATTTTTGATAAATAAATAAATGCATGCATTTCATCTGCAGTGAAGTCCTATTTATTGTGTGAAATAAGTATTACGTAATTTAATTTTTTTATTTGGTAGAATTACGTGATTCTGACAACATTTCACACTAATTATATTCTAAATTATATTTTCTATTATTACACACTAATTTACAGTAGTGAACATCTTGGATCATAAATTCTAGGTTTCCAGTCTTGTAATAAGCTCGTGTAAAATGTTCGCGTTAAAACTGTTTTGGTGGATTCTAAATTCCACGAACATACGAAAATTGGCAAGCACGGAGCTAGTGAGTAGGTATTTCATTTAGCTATATTCATAAAGAATTCCATTGTTATGTATATATATTCCATTGTTATTTCCATTGTTATACTATATTCATAAAGAATTCCATTGCTTTAAGTAAGATTTTGAAATATATGCTTACAATCATTTATTTATTAATAATAACATTTTTTTTCTTCTATAACAGATCCAGCCAAATTTTAAGTAGGTACATACCACCATTTGATAGATCGCGTCGACTATGTTATACATTTCATCCCGAGTGATGTAACCGTCATTGTCCACGTCGTAGAGACGGAAAGCCCCTGTAATTAACGTTTATATAATGCATTTATTTAATTAAACCAATATACGCTGAGCCCTGATATTGTAAATCGGCACTGTAACTGTATGCAGGACAAAACCGCACTTTTTTCAGCTTAGTACCTACTACTTTGTAAAACATCAGTCTGTCCAATAGTGAAATGTGGCTTCGCTCGGTTGTACCAAAAATTTCCAAGCCAAGAAGTTTTTATCTGCTTAAATTAATTTGAAAAATTGTAAATTTCAAAATTGCGTACATTTGAGAGGAACGCGATTAAACTAAAAAGCATACTACGACCTGAAAACCAGGAGAAGCAGAAAAAGTGGATTTAGTGCGCCAGATAATTTTAAATGTATTATCTTGGAAACACTTTATTTAGAGCAATATTTTAGCCATGTTATCCATATCAGGAATGAACAATTTTGCGTATCTTCGATTTCAGGGGCGGTTTCAATTAGTTCAAAACTGCAAAACAACGCACAGTGTAACTTAGTAGTAGTAGTAGTAGTAGTAGTAGTAGTAGTCCTAGGGTACCCTGCTGGTACATAGGGCCCTCACAAGCTGTCTCCACCACATCCTGCCTTTGCTTCAATGTAACTTAGAATCTAATAATATTAATTATATACTCACAGTGAAGTTTCTCGTCTAGATTGCCCCGTGACGTCACCGATAGGGCCCGTATGAATTCTTCGAACTCAATCGACCCGTCCTGTAAATGAGACACTACTTTTTATACTCGTATTATCAGAGCTATTATTAATACAAGTGTTAGTTCACAGTTATCATGCAGATATGCTGGATAAAATGTGGCTTGCGCTAATAAATTGCCTCTCTATAGTATTGATTCATACATGGCTATTCTTGTTTCATATTGCTATTTATATAAATTGCAGCCAACTTATATTTTATGATTTTTTACAAAGGAGATTTTAATTTCCTCTTTGTTTAAAATAGGCACAAAAAATTTCATAAGGATCTAGTCTACTTTCCGTTTTGATTACTGAGTAGCCTTTAATGTATGAACAACACTGATTTGTGAAAACACTACTCATGGTACTTTCAGAAAGCCTATTATGATTTAGTCACAACGAATCTACAATGTTTCAACTGAATCACAATCAAACTTTAACTTAAAAAGAAACAATTTCTTGGAATTAGCTCGTCAAACGCTGGCATCTGTACTTTGATGATGATTCTCTGCAGTGCTAACAACTAAAATACCAAATTTCGTCACAATCGGATGGATATATTTGGAACGCATAGAGGATAATATAACCATTAATTTTTATTTACACCAATTATTATTTAGTAATTAAAAAAAATCCCATTCAACCAGTTTTGTTGTGAATTTTACTTTCCCTTTCATATTACTAATTTCGATATGAAAATAGTATGCTAATATTTTCATTCCTCAATTAATTGAGGAGAGGAAGCATACTTACTTTTTCGAATCGGTGGAAATTATCATTTTATTTAAATCAACAAAAACTTTTTAGTATTGAAAAAATATGAATATAATACAACAATATATGACAGGGTGCAGATGTGTTGCTCATTTCTGGCGCTTGTAATAGCTCAGGTGATTCACAAACATGTGATGTTTGTCAAAATAAATAAATGGCGCTGTAAGGCAAGGTTTCAGGTTTCAGTATAAATGATTTGGGTTTTTCAACATTAAATCTCAAACGAATATTTGATTCGCGACCGAAATACGAAGGACAGTACTGTAAGTCAAGCATGCCTTGTAGAATACATGCCTTGCTTGGTAAAATAATTACATTTATAAATTTTAATTTCGATGTTATTATTTATGACTGTACGAATATAGGTATAGAATGATTTTTTCTATAGTCAAACAAATTTCTTTACATAAAAAAAGGAATTTGTAGTTTTAGCGAACTAACCAAATTGTGTTCTAAGTTTATCTTTCCACATTGTTATTTTGACACGGTAAGTGAAAAGGTGATGATACATAGGTATCTGGTTGTCTGACTAGATTTTACCACTTATCAGATTATACATATATTACATTAAAGAAAACTATTTTACGAAACATGATTAAAGTTAGTAAAAAATATTTTTCTAATATTAATACCACGTGTTAATAATAACTTAACACTGCAAAAAGGGTTTTGTGATTTTTTTAGATTTAAAATCAGATCAACATATTAAAAAATATTATTTAGTTATCATCAAATTTTGTTTTGAAGACATATCATACCTAGATTTCAAGTATTTCAAGCAAATCAAAGAGAATGGTAATTGCAATAACTAGGGTTTATTTGGAAAGATTTACACATTTCGCCGTGTTCAAAGTTCAAGTTAGATGCCGTTTTCTTCATTGATTTTTCTTTTGTGTAAAATTTAAACAGCTCCTAAATATAGATCACCGTTTTCTTCATCATAGCCCAAAGCACGAGCAACGTCCGCAATAAGATGTAATCAGCAAACATTATTTAGGTCGTATCATGCAAAAATATTGAAATGAATTGATTTGTAAGCAAATGTACTCACATTGTTTTCGTCGAACACTCTGAACACCAATGACGCAAACTTGCTCGGGTCACCTTGAGGGAAAAATTGTTTGTAGATCTTTATGAAGCCCTGAAACACACAGAATGGTTTCTTTATGTAATATGCATGCATTTTAATGACGTCAATTACAAGTGGATTTCGAATTTTTTTCCATTAATTAGTTTTTGTTCCCGAAAATGCTATTGAGTTATCGACTTGTGTTCATTAGTTTGTTTTGTTGCTCACGAAATGTAGCAAGGTCCTGCCAGGGTCAAAGGTTTAAGTTACAGCTTAAATCTATATGTATAGTAATAAATTACTTTTATTTCTGTGCATTCCGGTCTTAAGAGTGGGGAGCAGCCATTATACAAAAACGGTTGTACAAAAAACACGATTTTATTATTCGATTATTTTAGGACATGGATTTATTTTTTGTTTATGTAAATATTCTTAGCGTATGCTTGAAGCCTCGTTACCTTACAATATTCATTTTGAGTTAGTTCTATGATCTCTATCGTTATTTAACTGCTGTAATATATTTTTTATGACATTGTTACGTTTGATTTCAAAATCATTACCACTTTCTTATATACATTAACAATAAACATAATTTATCGAATATCATCAGGTAAAATAATAATAATAATAAATAAATAAAATTGAAGTTAAAAGTCGAGTACCTGCTCAGTCAGAAGACCGTTGGGGCAGTCCTTCAGAAATCCTTTGTGCCAAAGCCGAATTTCTTTTTCCGTAACTGAAACAAATCAGAATATTTCCTTATTTTTCTAGTTTATATTGTTATTGGGTAATTAATAATGACGTGGAAAGTTCTCGAAAACGATAGATACGAACTACAATTAGGACAATACAAAAAAAAAAAGTTGTCTTTATTCTTTATCGAAAACATATACAATATGTTGTGAAAATGTCTTAAAATAATGTATTTTAATCAAGAGATATATTCCATAACATATTAAAATATTATTAAGTACTAAAAATGGTTTGTAGTTGAAATTTGTACTTCAGAAATAATGAAACAAGACAAAGAGTTGCTCACGCCACTCTCTTGTGTCTCCGTAAGCTTTAATTGATTTGTAAATCCGTTGGGTACATAAAACCACGATCCAGAAAATTCTCTGTTATATTTACTATAGCAGAATTTGTTATCTGTTATAGAAGAAGACTCGGCATTACTCGCGTCATATCATTCACCAGGATAAAAAGTTTCCGATTTGTGAGCACCGTACTCTAGATATATCTCGCATAACACCACAGGGAAACGAATTGAGACTCAACGCTGTCGAAATATCTATGTCGGATAGAATTAGCTGAGCCAGCTTTATTTTACTTTTCATATCATTTATTTATCTTCATTTTTATTACAAACTAGCGACCCGCCCTCGCTTCGCTTCGGAAACATTAAAACACACATGAAACCGAAAAAAAAAAAAAAGTAGCCTATGTTCATCAGGGACAATGTCGGCTTCTAATGGAAAAAGAATTTTTCAAATCGGTCCAGTAGTTTCGGAGCCTATTCGAAACATACAAACAAACAAATCTTTCCTCTTTATAATATTATTAAGTATAGATTTTGTACTTCACCTAGTTATATAAGGCAATAAACGATTTCTTTATTTAATCTAAATTATAAACTATATTTGAGCAAGGGGAATGAAGTATTCACATAGTTAATTTCATCAAAATCCATCCACTACTTTATGCATGTACACAGACATAAGATATTAAAACAGACTGTTTTGGATTCTACAACGATTAACATAAAGACCCTCATTAAAGTGTAAAAAAATGGTGCACGTGTAAGAAGTGAAACTTTTTTGCGGCGTGTATTGTGGTTTTCTTCATTTTCCATCTTTAATAAAATTTCACTTGTAATAGGGAATGCTGTGTATAAGAGAAACGACTTCTTCACCATTTATATTATTTTAAATTATATACAAAAAAATAAACATATATTTTTTAATCTATTATTAAAAATAAAATATATGATAGTTAATATGTTACTGTCATCTAGAGGAGCAACGAGAAACTAATAACAAGCCATCTAGTGGCCGATGCCCGTAAATCGAATGTGTTTAAGAGAAACGACTTAGCTCGCCTTCTCCCTCTCTCCAAGGTCGAGTGGTTGGCGAGACACTCTGTCTATTTTGTCACTCTCACTCCTCCTAAGTCGTCGTATTTTTTCTCTCTAGCCGTAAAATTTGTCGCGAGTTAAATATTAAGGCGGATTTACATTACGAAATTAGTGGCGTGAAATTAATTTCGTGACATTAGTTTTACTAACAGTTTCACGTGTAATTTAATACTTTCGTAATGCATGCATTAATTTCATGCATGGAAATTAGTTTCGTGCCCTGCGCGATTTTTTGGTGAAATTAATGTCATGCAACTAATTTCATAGTGTAAACGCGACGTGAAACTAATGTCGCGAAAGGGCCTGCGCTGTGCGGACGTGTGTATTGTTAGTTCGGACGCGCTACAAACGTTGAAAATGGCAAACCAACGATGGAGTACAGATAAAAATATAGATCTTATTAATGAATATCAGCGACAACGGTGTCTCTGGGACCCGAAACACCTACAGTAAAAAAGCAAAATTATATTCACTCATTCGATAATAGTTTTTATAACTCTCAGGATCTTCATCTGCTAATTCAGAGACTAACTTCATTGCACCTAAATGCCTTCTTGTTGACCATCTTCGAATCTACCAACCTTTTTTTTCTTGATAGTCTTTTTTTTAAGTTTATAGGTATATAAGCATTTCTTTAGCTACATTGAATATAGCATATAGCATAGAATATAGCTTTGATGGTGATGGCGCCATGGTTACTGCGATACTGTGGATTTCGCGACATTAATTTTTTGACGAAATTACTTTCGCATATATCGAAACTACTTTCGTGAAACTGAGCTCAACATGCATGACACTAATTTCGTAATGTAAATCCCGCATTACTCTCAACGCGCCTAAAGAAGTTTCACTAAAAAAAATAAAAATATGTTGAGCCACGGCTTCTTTCCAGTTTTTATTATCTGTAGTAAAATAATAAATATGAACATGCCATACGTTTTGTTAGTTGGTCTATTGTTTATTCAAACATGTACATATGTACATATACATATTATGATGTATCTAATTATTTGAAACTTTGGAAATAAAATAACAAGAAAAAACACGAGATATCGAAAAAGTAGGTTTAATTATTCAATATTGCCATATAGCTATTAAATAAAAGCAAATCTGGTATCTTCCCCTGTGATATTGAGGCTGTTGAACTTAAAACCTAAAATATAAATAATACACTGTATCAATACGGATAAATCGTTCTGCGGTACGTGCGATAAACTATTTAAATCGCTTACTAGTGATTTAAATAGTTTATATAGTTTATTTATTTATATAGCTTAAATAGTTTTATAGTATATTTAAATCACTTTAAATTAGTTACTAGTGATTCAAATAGTTTATCGCACCGACTTTTCCCAATGGCTTTATGAAAAGCTAGTACTAGTACAGTAAAGTAAAATAAAGTAAAGTACGCTAGTAAAATAATAGTACCTAGTATACTTTTATGTTTTTCAATTAAGGTGTTCTATAATTCTTTTAAGCTATTTTTGTCTGCCTGTTGTTCTTATAAACAATATTCTGTTCGGTTATGATTTATGTTAGGTCGTCTGGTAGTACGTATGTAGGTATGAGTATGATGACGAGAACCTGTCTAATGCTTACACCTGGTTGTAAACAGTATTACTGGTGGTATGTCGTATAGTGTGACCCCATGAGTGGGCACCATTAAGGTAAAATTAATAATTGCAACTTCGATCTTACGTTCAAATTTCATATATTCCAAATCATTAATCTAGCAATAGATGGATTAATCCAAAATGGCGAACTAACGCATGCTTAGAAATTACAAAGGTTTCGTTTTTGCCATTTGGCTACCGCGCCCCAAAAGTGGCGTTGTTCCAACTTGCGTAATGATCGCCGAGAGAAAGGTCCTTGAGAGTGGTCGAGATTAATTTTATAGCTCTCCTTGGCCTCGAAAAGCGTAAAGTATCGGAAACACCCAAAAATATTCTATTATAATTAAATATTGTTCGTTGTAGGCGCATCAATTGAAAATTACTTTTTCTATGCTTACTATTAATAATATTAAGTCTAGTCTATAAAGTCTATTAGTCTAGTCTATTAAGTCTAGGGATGGATAAATCGGACACTTCATAAATTCACAAAACGAACGCAAAACAAATTTACTAAAATTTAATACGACATGTTTGCATTCTTAAGTCAGAAAGCGACCAAAAAACGAAAAAATTTTATAATAAATTTTCCGTTAAATTATGTTACTATTTTTCAAAAGTGTAATGTGGACCGTTCATAAAAATGGACACAAATAATATTATATTCCCATAATTATAAGGCATAGCATTATGTAATAAAAATGTACATTGTTTCATAATAAACAATCATTAAAATACGTGCCAGCTTTGATAAACTAGCAGTGATTTTAGTAGCAACATGAAATGTATTCTCAACCTGCTACATTATTCAGTGTTTTCACTGACACGTGAAGACTTTCAAACGGTTATTTTACGGAGTATTAAATTCGATTTCGGAATAAATTTCTGATGCTTTTAGTAGATAGTAGTGCTTCTTAGCGGGCCATGGTTGAATCGCAATTTCACGCTGGTTTGTTTTGGGGTTGAACGAAAATTGAAAATTACATATATTGTTTTCAGGTTTTCACTTTTGTTTTTAGGATCTTTAGAATAATATTTTGCACGGGCGCGTTCAATATCCAAGTATTAGTTGTGTTTTAAATATGAGGCCGTCAGCGCAGAAGTAGCCTAGCTCGCAATTTTCATATTCGTGCTTATATAATACTATACTGCAACTTATTTAAAACATAAATAAATTTTGATGCAAAACCGGCCTACCCGTAGTTTCACACATAGATAACAGATTGATTTGTAAATATAATTTTTGCGCGTATTGTTTTTGCCTACAAAGCAGTGTAAAAGTAAATTCAAACATCATTGCCTCCATGCGAACTATGGTAAGATTAAGCCACTTTTGCGCTGACGGCCTCACATAATAGGAACGTCTTACGAAATTTGAAGCTTTTTTTAAAATTGATCTTTTGTCTTATGTCTTTTAATTTTGGTGCATTCAAAGTTGTTCGTAAATTTATTCTATTCCTGCACTAACATCTTGATGGCATTAATATAATACTTTTGGTCGTCGAAAAACTATTGGAAAACTGTCTTGGACAGTTAAGGCTTAAGTTTCAAGTGAAATTGCAACTATGTTTTATGTCCTACTAAAATTTCAAAGATTTAATTTGTTGTTTTGTTATATCTACTGCAGTTAAATTATGAAAAACAAATATGACCTCAATTGATAAATTACGTTTTTATCGATAATATTCGTGGCATTATGACCAAGCGGTCAATTCAATTACCTATATGTCAACCGCTAATGAGCTTCACCGTGGCTCGTGAAAACAACTCGCATACTATAATATGTTGGGTTAGAATAATACCTACGTAGTTTAAATGTAATTCCCACATTTTCCCATTCCTAGATAAATCGTTGTACCATAAGCGCATTAATCTTCATTTCGAGACTTCCTTCTCCTTCTTTCCTTCTCGGAAATTTTTGGTATGTTAATGATAATTTGATTTACTGTAATCCTTCCTATAACACGGTAGATTGGTTTTGCGTTATAGGAAACGTGCTGTACGAGTATTCTCGCTTAACACAGGTATTCCCCCATATAACGCGGGGTTTTCACAGATTTTATTTGTGTACTGTGAAATGTATAATGATTTGTGCAGTTCAAAATTAATTTCGCTTACCTTTGCACATTGTGTCAATTGTGTTTTTATAAAATCTATATATTAATACGTGAAGCAAAAACTTTGTATCACTTTTTACGATAATTGCGCGGACGGAAGAGTATGAAATGTCCCTCACTTATAGAGAAGGAGTGCAGAATGCTATTTTTTTTAATATTATGCATTAAAAATACATTAAATCGAAACATCAAAAGTATTAAAAAGATAAATGCGAAACTAAACAGTAAAAGGTTGATGACTCAAAAAAATGACTCGGTGTGCAGTAGCAGTAGTTAGCGTTCTTGACAGTTGCGACGAGGGTCGTCCATTCGATTTTCACATCGGGCAAACATTGTGCGATGAACAGGTTTGTTTGCTCTTTGTCTGGATGTTCATTATCTATAAATGTATATATTTAAACGTATATAAGTGTGTTTGTCAGTCTCTGGTACCCACATAACACAGGGGATCCTAAATTGGGGCCGGAAGACCGTGTGTGATTTGTTCCTGGCTATTATTAATATTATTATTATTGAATGGAGTTTAAATTTAACACTTGGGTTCAAATATTGTTTCTGTTCAATTATCAAACAGCGAACGGAATTATGTAATAGCTATACTGTTTTTAGTCAATTTTTAATAATTACATAATTAATATTTCTATTGCTCATTTTTAACAACTAAAGTTCTAACTAGCAAAAAATTTCCTTTAATTTATGTGTCTAGGTAACTTTTAATTTTATGTAATCAGGCTATGTTTTTAGTTCAAAACAAAATGATGTTATTAATTTGACCGTCACACATAATTAGCATATTATGCAAGTTTTGTTGATGAATGAAAGACTTCATTTCGTAACATATTTGACTATTCGGTTATTCTAACAGAAAGCGATTAGCGATTTTGCTTAATAGTTAGATGTAGCATTCAATTTTACTTTAAAAAGTTTGGAACTGAAGACTAAGAAAAATAAAATTTATTTTCATCCATCTTTTAATAGTGTGCTATATTGTCCTTCATTTATTGTAGTATTTAGAATATATGAGCTGTGAGCACATATTTTGTATGTGTATAAGTATATGTCGCCTCAGAGACGCATAATGCTCCAGAGTCACAACATCCAGACCAGCAATATTTGCGTATATATGTATATATATATACATATGCATATACGATTTTTAATATGCACATTATTCTCTACTGACACTGATCAGTTTTAATATTTATACTAATAATACTTTTGTTGGTGGAAAATGTTTCTTACAGTTAAGAATCTGCTTTAATACTTATCGTTTATTACTATTTATTGTTATTTAAAATTTCTGCGTGTACATAAATAAATATTAAGGATAAAACGTTCGACATTAAATACGTAAGGCAAGCAAATAAACATTTACAATTCAAATCAAATCCTTATCTGTTTAATACGACGATGTATAATTTCCGCTGCATCATCATCAATATGCACGTGATCGTAGAAGCGAAAGCTTTATATCATCTTGTAATGTAAAATATTTTATGCAAACGCGAACCCATTACATTAGCAGTTTGAACGCTCAAGAGAAAAATCTATAAGAATATTGTAGACGTGCGATCGGATTCATTCCCGTAGTGGCTCTTGGAAAACTCAACATGAAGATTTACGTTGTGCGTATTTTACGATATTCACAAAATCATTTGTTTTTATAAACAGTATATTAGACTAAAATCATACTTATGTTTGCAGATGTTCGTTGTAGTTGCGGTTTCGCTAAAAACAGGTCATCAATATAACGTCCCGGAAACGACCTTTCCGCAATACGGGTTTCCTCAATCAATTAATCTTAACGGGAATATGGCACAGTTACGCCATGTTGGCGAACCCTCACTGCAGCATGGAAAGGACATATCATACTCGATAAGCTACTCAGATTATCTTTACTTGAAACGGCATAAAACCAAAGGACAAGACTCACCATTTAACCCCGAGCGGCCGCCCGAGGGCACGAGTCAGCGCGATAACAGATATCTCGTCCATTATGCTCACCGCAATGGTAATACTAAGATTTCCTCTCTGCATGCCACACTAAATCCCACAATAATCTATCTTAAATAATTTATGTTTACAGCGAACTGGGCTTTGGAATGATAAAAAAATACAACGGAAGCTCTAGAAGTTCGTCTACCGAAGAAAATATATTATGGTAGACAGAAAAACCTACAACACATTTGTCATCTCGTTATAAACAAGTTTATAAATAACAACTACCACTATACCTAGAGGTTTTCACGTGCTGTACTAAGATATTTCTTTCTAAAACAGATAACTAGTGTTGAAACGTCGGATTATAAAAATATTAAAAATGTAACGATATAAAACTGAGACTGTATTTTTATTAAGTTTTAAGCGATATTCTGAAATGCTGGTAGCCCAGATCTGGTTGTTATAGCCTGGAGCACTGTGCGTCTCTGGGTTAATGTTATAAATAGATAGATAAATATAAGAAAATCTTTAAAGTATCGGAGTTTGTGAATTTTCGTGTGATTTTTTAAAATAAATGATCGTTGCTTATACTGGCTATCATTGTTGTCATATAACTTTGGGTGTGTGTGGGACGTATTTTTGGTTAATTTGTTAATTATGAATTTAGTTGTGTGGCGTCGCAAATTAATAAGGGATTATAGTCAGGGCACCCCCCTGCCCATCAATACAGCCTTCGAAAATAAAATGAGATATGAGAATGAAAGTACTGTATACGTCATAAATTTTTAGGTTGTAGTAAAGTGTTTTGGATTGACAGAAAATATTATTCGACGCCAGGTGGGGGAGGAAAGTCCTCGAATGGAGGCCACGTATGGGTACCAGGAGCGTGGGGCATCCTCCAACCAGGTGGACCGACGATTTAGTGCGCACGGCGGGAAGTTATTGGATGCGGAAGGCGGAGGACCACATTCTGTGGAAGGCATTGGGGAAGACCTATGTTCAGCAGTGGGTAGATAAAGGCTGATGATGATGATAATGAATGGGCATGGAAACAACGCCTCTTGGATATTGATTTTTTTCCCTATCAACTCAAACTTTGGAAAAAGTAGAAGTCTGTTAGCGCAAGGTTTGGTGGTTACGGTGAAAGACGCCAAACCTTAAACCCTAGCCCTTTTAGTTCAGAGATCGTTTTTGCACCGTGTGAGGTCAAACATTGTCGTGTAGGAGCAGCGGGAACGATCGATTAACCAAAACTGGCCTGAGATCCGCGGGCTTCTCCATCATTATGTCCAGCTCCTCACAGTACACATCCGTAGTAAAGCTGGTGCTATTCGGTAAGAAGCTGTGACGAATGATATCAGTACTAAATCACCAAACAGACCATGACCTTTTAGGGGTAAGTTTTTGTTTGGGGCATTGCCTAGGTACTGAAGCAGGATCTATCTAACATGATGATAGCTAACTATTATCAAAAATAATCAATTTTTCATTGCATGTGACAATGCGGTTCTAAATCCCATCGTTTTTGTGTCTGTTATGCAACGCAAGGCATACCTTTATTCGTTTTTTTCGCGCTAGTAATCGTTCGGTTCGTGCGGCACCCACCTATCAAGTTTTTTTTACCTTAGCGATTTGAGGCGTATGGACTAATATTGTAGGCGAAATTTAGAAATTACTATAACGATATGTATCTATATTTATGATTGACTTAGAAAATGTAGCTTATTATCACGTCACGATCATACACTGCGTTTTAATCCGCCAATTAGTATACTTTTCAAGTTTTTGCCGAAAGATAATTATGTATGTATATTTTTGTCGCATTGTTTCGGACCAAAAGCTTCTCATTGTACTCCATATTTGAATTATTCATAACGCCAGAATTATTTTCAATTTGATTAAATTAATTTACGCGATCACGAAATTCCTTTGTGTTTATTGTAATAAAGAACAAATACGCGATATTTTGTAAACGTTCCACTTTTTTTAACGCTATGAATCTAGTTAGTTTGTTTTATTTTTATATATAAAAGGTTTTTATAGCATTAGTTGGATATCGTAACAAGCATATAGTCCAGTCGTGACAAGTGGCCATCAGGGCCTATAGATATCGTAAAGAGAATTCCATGATGTATTTATTAGTCTCATGAACCGGCCTTGGCCCTGGCATTGTTGAGTGAGTAACTCAAGGGCGGATCCAGCTTTGGCGCCAGGAGGGGGTCACATAGTCGTGGGCAAGTTAAGAACTTATAATTTAATTTTGATAACAATAGATAATAAATAAATCATTATGTTCTTCAATTAGTCCAAGTTAGTTCAAGTCCTGGAACTAGCTCAGGGGGGGGTCATGAACCCCATAACCCCCCCTGGATCCGCCGTTGGAGTGACTATACCATCAAGTGGACATAGGCTCGTCTGTCTACAAAGGCAAAGAAAACAGCACTGTTAAATGAGCAGTACTACTGTTTTGCTCATTAGGCAACGTGGGAATGCTTCGCTTTTAAAATAAGTACCAATGCGTGTGTTTACGTTTGCTGACCGGTAAAATTAGGGAGAAATTATGGATAGAGGACAGGAAATTTTTGGATAAGGTAATTAATCAGATGATGCTGCTACCAAGGATAGATGAGTCTTATGAAAAGCCGAATAGATTAATTAAGAAGTAACATTGTTACTGTTTAATGTAGCTATTAATCCTTAAGACCACGAGCTTAAGCCACCCTGAGCTCTATATTATTATTTAAAGTGGTATTCGATATCGGTGTCACTTGCAAAGTAAAACCAGCTATATTAGCTAAAGTTAAATTCACGGTGTGATGGGACACGTCTAACCTGGATAAGTATTTATGTTTTACAAAGTTGGTTGGGTCATCTTCATGTAGTGCTTCCGTTCCTGAGCCGGGATTCCCAAATACCGGCTACCTGCATTTAAAGTTGATCTCACGGATCGTTCGAGTTCTTCTGCAAAGTGATTTTGTTTCTCTTTGTGCGTTGTACCGTGTGTCCCACGAGGGTAGTTATTGTTCGAGGCGATCTAGCCCAATCCTTTAACATTGTATCACCTATTACCGGATCTGTGTGCGTCTCGTCACTATAACCTCAGCCTGTGTGTTTTAAGTCTTCATTTTTGCTAGTTATCATCTTGGAGCTTGGAAATGAACGGAGAAGTTGAACGGATTGATTTATGAATCAATTATGATTTTTTTGTTCAAAGAGTTTCTAGAATGTTCTGGTATGTAGCTTCTATGGGCGACGGTAATCACGAGCTAATCACGTATCTGCTTCCGAAGGCGAAAAATGAATAGTCAAGTTAAATAGTAAATTGTTTAATTTTACAGAAATAGTACATCATTACAGCTGTTCCTTATCTTTAGTAACAACAACACAGTAGCCACTGCTAAACGCATAAAAAGTACAATGACACATATCAAGACAAAGGTACCCGATTTGGAAGTATTCGCAATTTTTAATAAAAAAGTATTTCTATTCTATGCATACCTGTGCGAATTTGAAATGTAGAAAATGAATAGAGTACATTTCTTCCTATCTATTTGTTATAATCTATACTTAATTTTTTTTATATATAATCTGTTTTTTTTTCGAAAACTACCTCTGCACCCTTTGTTTTTTTACCATTCAAAATCTCAATAATATAATAATATCTATTCAGTAACGTGATAACGGTTAAATTGTTTTCATTTTGAAAGTATGCTAACGCAGCCATTATGTTTATCAGTATAGAACATAATTTAAAATCAATTAGATTAACCAAAATAGCAAAGGAAACTTTTATAGATAATATGTAAAAGATTACACAGAACTGACAAGCAAAATTCCATAGTCTTGTCCATTAACAATATGCATTTTACTAAAATCGATGAAGCATACCTACAGCATATTATAATCGTATTTACATTTAAGGAATGTATTTTTATGGGAGATTAGCATATATTCGAGAAACCGGTCACATTCACATTACACAATTTGGTTACGCAACATTAGAAATTTTTGTTTACTTATCGTAATCGATATACCTAGTTCAGAATACAGTGATTAATTACGTTTTTTTATTATTAAATAGTTCATAGAAAGTTTTAAATTTCGTTATTATACACACTGGTGGTAGGACGTCTTGTGAGTCCGCACGGGTAGGTACTATCACCCTGCCTATTTCTGCCGTGAAGCAGTAATGCGTTTCGGTTTGAAGAGCGGGGCAGCTGTTATATTGTTATAAGTGAGATTTTAGAACTCATGTCTCAAGGTGGGTGGCGGCATTTACGTTGTAGATGTCTATGGGCTCCGGTAACCAGTCAACACCAGGTGGACCGTGAGATCGTCCACCCATATAAGCAACATAAAAAAAAGATAGGCTTAAAATGAATAACGACTCCAACAAAAGTAAATACCTGAAAATTAAAATAATAAAAAATAAAATACTAATTAAACTATTTTCTTTATTTTACTATAAATGAATAATAACAAACTGCTATCTCGCAGGTTTGTAAGTGTGACGCTAATAGCCAACGCGGATAAAATTTATCTTATATGATAAATTAAAGATTTAATATAAAAGAAATATAAAATCGATGCGTCGCTCTTGGCGGCTGGATTTGAAGAGAAATAGTCTCATGGCGGACGTCGCTCGCTGACATTTTAACGTTCAGAAATTGAATACACACCATGGACAGACATTCGTCGATAGCTTAGTACAAGATTTCGTTCTTTTATATTATGAAAAATTAATATCGCGACGCGGAGGATTGCGCATTGTGGTTATACAATACTGTCATCGCCATATTCGCCATAGCTTATTATTACATATACATAACATATAGTTTTATATTACCTTGACAAAATTTTGAGGCCTTAGCAAAAGGCAATTCTTCTGTTTGAACCGGAAAACAAATATATAAATTTTAATTTGTACAGCATTTTCACGTTTATTGGATACATATTGAACCTTATTTTAAGTTACGGTAGTTTAAATAAGAGTAGATTAAACAATAAATAATAAAAAACTGTTTTATTTACCATTATACCACTTATATTGAACGTACGCCAGGTACATACTCAGACACTGACTAACTGAACGATGATTCATCGGCATTGGACATGCTGCGCTCATGTGCCAGCGAATGGTTTGTGTCGTACTTTTAACAACTTGGTATTACCAAGTACTGGCATAGATTATGTACCATTACGTATCACGTA